GGCAGCTTCTTGTTTAAGGACACTCCCTAACCCCTGCACTGCGGGGCGGGGGACGGTTCCACCTCCGCTCTCCACACCTGAGCACCCTTCAAACGCCTGAGAAGCTGCTGTCTCTACAAAGCAGTTCCCTTGTGAGTCATCTTCCTGGCTCTTCACGGGCACGCACAGATCCCACAAAGCAGTATTTAGTGTGTCCTCACCTGAGCTTCACGCTGAGTTCATGGAGACAGCTCACTCTGCCTCTCTGAGACCATGGGCTCCCTTTGCTGTTGGAGGGGTGCTTCTAATGCCCCCCACGCCTGCACCTTCAGGAGGTGCCAGGTGGCGATTTGAGCGTGCAAGAGGATGTGTTGGAAGGGAGGATGTGCCCAGGAGGTGTCAGGGCAGTTAGTGACGGGGAGGAGAGGGGACGAGGCGGGGCGCGTGAGGCCCCTGCCCCTCCCCCCGGGAGTCTGGTGTGACACGCTACAGGGCCACGCTCTGGTTCCAGATAAGATCGAGGATGAGCTGGAGATGACCGTGGTCTGCCACCGGCCCGAGGGCCTGGAGCAGCTCGAAGCCCAGACCAACTTCACCAAGAGGGAGCTCCAGGTCCTTTACCGAGGCTTCAAAAACGTAAGACGCACCTAGAAGCAGGAGACCCAGGGAGGCGGGGATGGCCACACACGCCGGGGGCGGGGCGTGCGTGCGTGTGCGTGCGTGTGCGTGCAACTATCCACCCGCCACAGGGATTTCCCACGCGCACAGTTGTAGAACGCCAGCCCAGGCACCCCTGACCCTCCTCCCCTCCGCAGGAGTGCCCCAGCGGCGTGGTCAACGAGGAGACATTCAAGCAGATCTACGCTCAGTTCTTCCCCCACGGAGGTGAGTGCCCAGGCCTCCAGCCCGCAGCCGTCTGGTCCTCCGTCCACCGTGCCTCCGGACCACGGGGCGGGGGAGGGGGGCACTGGAAGAGGTGGGCGCGCGTCAGAGCTCTCCGGAACCTCAGTGGAAAGGCGCTCTGAGGATGGGCCGGGACACAGGGTCCTCTCTCGGGCGTTACCCCCTCTCTCCCCTCCCCCAGACGCTGCAGTTTGGACTGGGCTTCCAGCTTGCCAGGCAGGTGCTCTGCCACCTCTCTAGCCATTGCAGCCTGGGCTGGCCAGACCCCGCTCCTCCTCACCTCAAACCACAACGCTCCTCACCTCCGCCTCCAAAACAGCCTCCCGCCCCTGCTCCCAGCCTCTCTTCTCTCCGCCTCCTCTCTGGGGCCTCCAGCCTTCACCCCTCTCCCCTCCTTGTCTTGTAGACGCGAGCACCTACGCGCACTACCTCTTCAACGCCTTCGACACCACCCAGGCAGGCTCCGTGAAGTTTGAGGTACGGGCATCCCCGGTCCACCCTGGGAGCCCCTGGGGGGAGGGCTGGGCTCCCAGATGTTCTCAGTCAAGTCCGAGAATCACTCTTGACCAGTGTCCCAAGAAGACAGCAGGTGGAAGAGGAAACTTCCCTGCCCCCAGGGAAGCAAGAGCGTCCTGCTCTGTGGACCTGCGCTTCGCACTAACCCCTTTCACCGCCCGGCCACCTGCCAGCTGGGCTTTAGGATTTACCACTGCATTAGAGCAGGCAGGCAGATTGAGTCCAGAATACTGGGGAGGGGTCGGGGACGGGCTTGAACTCGGGATGCTCCCGCAGCTCATGCTTACAGCTATTAGAGGAGACGGCCACACTGTCGCAAGCAACCGCCACCGCGGCAGCTGAGCCGCAGCAGCTGCGTCTCCCTGCCTGCAGACCGGGACCGGTGCCCAAGCTGGCAGGGTGGGGTCTTCGTGTGAGCATGCCCCAGGCTGGCTCAGAGACACCCCCCCCCCGCCGTGTCCCGTGGTTAACAGCCCTCTGGCCTTTTCTGCTTCTCAGGACTTTGTCACTGCACTGTCCATTTTGCTGAGAGGAACTGTCCACGAGAAACTAAGGTGGACGTTTAACCTGTACGACATCAACAAAGACGGATACATAAACAAGGAGGTGAGCCACGAAGGGGCTGGGCCACACAGCGAGCCCCTCCCCCGGGGGCGTGGCCACACAGCGAGCTCCTCCCCGGGGGTGTGGCCACACCACGAGCCCCTCCCCCGGGGGCGTGGCCACACAGCGAGCTCCTCCCCGGGGGTGTGGCCACACAGCGAGTTCCTCCCCTGGGGGCGTGGCCAGACAGCGAGCCCCTCCCCCAGGAGCTGCCAGCCCCCGGCTCAGGCCCAGGGCGGGGACGCGGGGTGCACGCGGGAGGACCCACCGCAGGTCAGGGCGCAGGACCCACGGCAGGCAGCACCCGAGGAAGCAGTTCCCAGGGAAGACAAGAGCACCCTGGGCCCTCGCTGGCTGCCACACTCTGCCCCAGAATGGGAAGACGGGGGTGCCGCCATCCTTCCAGGAACCGCCCTGAGCCGCCGCGGACCTCCACGCTGGACCCCACGGGCGTGGACGGGGCGGCCCGTGTGCATCTAGCTCCGGTCCCGCCTAGACATGGCCGTGTCTCATGAGTGTGAGAGCCACGCGCTGGGCTTCTGCCCTCCAGACCTGACCTCAGCACTGCCAGCGTCCGCTCTGGTCCACAGCTGACACTCAGAGCGCACAGCCAGCCCCAGGCCTTGTTCCCGCAGCCCTGTGTCTGCTCTGTGCAGACTGAGGGCTTCTTCCCTGTCCCGGGTACAGGAGACAGGGGAGGGCATCAGGCCAGGCCTGGTGCGGGGCAGCATAGACAGCCAGACCACGGTGCGTCCACCCAGGGGCTCTGGAAGGCGTTGCGCCATGGGAAGGGTCCGTGTGGGAGGAGAGCCGCCGAGGGGAGGTGCTGCGTGCGACGCAGACAGACAGAGCCGCCGTGGAGGACCTGCCCGCGCCTGGCCAGTGACCACACGGACGCCATTTCTCTAAGGCACTAACGCTAAAACTGACTCCAAGACGGTGACAACACCCGAACGTCTCTATCACTTAGAGAAGTTGGATTCACAATTTAAAGTCTTTCCACCAGAGACGTGTTAGCCCACCCAGAAGGCTCTCTGGCAGATTCTAGTAATGATTATTACTGTGATATAGATAGATGTGACAGAGAAGTCAGTACCTCCCAACTCGGTTTATAAATCCAGAAATACCTTAATAATCAAACCAGGAAAAAGTGCTTAGAAGAAAACGATAAGCCACTCTTTCTCATGAGAGGAGACACGATTCGCTTCAGCCAACCGGATGCAAGTTAATCACAGTGATATAGAAAGAGCTGGAATCTATCCACGGCCAAGCGGGGGCTGTTATTTGGGGGATGCAGAGCTGGTTTAACAAAGACGTCACTGTAAGTCACCGAGTCACCAGAATGTCAAGGCAGACGAGACGTTAGAGCAGTAAACGCACACTTCCTTGGCAAAAAGCCGGCCCCTGTGCCAGTCAGCAGCCAGCAGTCTGGGACTCAAGGGGCTTTCCAGTCTGATCAGGGACATCTTCCCTGGCCTAGCCACCAGCATCCACGCAATGGTGGAAGAAGTCAGGGTTGAAACCAGGAATCTGAGACCAGGAAAAGCAAATGGAATCCATGGGCTAGAGTGGGAATGGAGGATTAAAGCTCTCTTTATCTGTAAAGATAGGTCTGTATGCACAGAACATTCTAAACAGTCTACAAAGAAACTAGAAAGCACAGATGACCTTAAGAAAGTAACAGTACACGAATTCTATTTACAAAACTCACAGTTCTACCTACGTAATTAACAAAACAATTGAAAAAATAACTGAAAAAATTCCCTTAAAATAGCTTCAAAATAGCTTGTGGCAGATTCAGTAAAGTGGGCGAGACACACATGGAAGACGTCGTGCACACGGGGCGGAGGACACAGCGCAAGGACCAAACTCACCGCCTAGGGTCACAGCAGCCACGCCCCAAGTCCCTCCAGGCTTCTGCAGCTTGACCTGAAATGCGTGTGCCCGTGCCAAGAGCCCACAGTGGCCAGGGCACACACGCAGGACACGGGGGCGGGGCTGAACTCCCCTTATTCCACCCCTGCATGTGCCCCTGACAGGATGGTTGGCGAGGAGGTGCCCGCACAGCTCAGTAGATCAACAGAGATCACGGTGCGTGGGATGGCCCAGCGAGAGCCAACCCGAGAGAAGGAAGGAGGCCACAGACGGTGGCCGTGGCCGGGAGTTGGGCCAGTGCTGCTGCAGCCACGTCGATCTCAGTGTCGGCCACTTTCCTCTGGGTCGCGGAGGAAGCAGGGTGGGAAGCAGGCATGGGCACACTCTGCGATTGCTGGAACTTCTCTGAAAGCCTAGAATTACTCACAGAGGCGGAGCGAGATCGCCAGGGCGCTGGCAGTCCTGACTGTCGGCCCCGCTTCCCGACTGAAATCCGCGCGGCACCCGTGGAGGTTTAATCCGTCAGAACCTTCGCTCCTCTGATTCTGAGGAGTGTTTGACCTGCCCCCTCGTGGGGGTGGGGGGCGCGTGTGTCCCCTCGCCCCGCACAGCACTCCCTGGGGCCCCCTGGGGTCCCCCCCCGCAGGCGGCCGGGTTGGGGCAGCTGTCTGACCCTTCCACCTGCTGGGCCCGGCGAGGGGACGGGGCGCCACGCGGTCACCTCACGCGCCCTCCGTGTGTCCCAGGAGATGATGGACATCGTCAAGGCCATCTACGACATGATGGGGAAGTACACCTACCCCGTGCTCAAGGAGGACACGCCCCGGAGGCACGTGGACGTCTTCTTCCAGGTGAGCCATGCACGGGGCCACGCACGGGGCCACGCACAGGGGCCACGCATGGGGCCACACCCAGGGGCCATGTACGGGGCCACGCACGGGG